ATTGGATTTTTTTTTATATCCGCCACAGATCTCTCTGAAGAACTCAGCATTGACGGCTTCAGCAACGCTGTGCCACTCCGTGGATTTTCTCTTATTTGTTTTGCAAAAACACTTCCTTTCATTTCTCCACCTCACCCACAGGTACCTCAGTTTCAGCTTGAGAAATAGCGCTTCCTTGATCTACGGTCGGGATCGAAATGCTGCAACAAGCCGGCTTATGTACATGCATGAGATCCACAAGCCACTTTGCACTGACTATTTATGGCAGTAAGTGGGCGTGGTGAGGGCGGGATGTGACTAAAATGCAGCTGAGAAACATTCTCGTTAGTCTCCGATTTATGAAGCAGAGATTGCGTGCAGCTGTGCGTACTCCATGTTTGACAGGTCACAAACCGACTTGGCGTAAGTGCTTTTTTTTTTGCTGAGCTTGAGTACGGTTTTAGAAAGGATTCTACGCAATGTTTGATAAATGAGACCCCAGATCAATCAGTGAAAAAGACCAGGATGTCTCCAACTGAAACCTGCTCAACCTTTTACCAGTTATGTTAACGTCTCTAGACACCAACATTTAGAATATCCAAAGCAATGAACAAGACGGAAAGTTGTGAGGCTCACGATCAGACCTAACTTCTCCTCTTTGATGGATTTCAGAGCTCCAGAAGATTATCCTGGGAGAGAAGAAACACAAAAGAGGACCAAGAATAAACGCCATCAGGAGGACGATGAGATCAGTCATGGCTCCAGAACATTTATCACCATTGCCTTCTTTGTGTTTGTGACAGCCTGAGCTCACACATGATGTTATGGGTGTTATCTGTTGCAGTAATGAGCCGTGCAGCACGCCAGAGCCAAGTGAAGGAATAGTTTATGGTTTGGTGGAGTCCATCAGACAGCTGAGAGTGTTTAGAGGGAGAGGAAAATTAACTCCCAACATCACAAACCTGATGTAATGAACTGCACAGACGGCTGAAATCTGACAACAAGAGAAAAGTTCAAACTGAATTACATCGTCGTGGAAACCATCACAGATCCTCGGGAGATGCAAAAGCATCACATGGAAAACACAACATAGAATGATCCCAAAGAGAGATAGATGGCACAAAAATAGGTTCAATATATTCCAACGATCCAATAAAGCTGCCGAAAGCTCTCCTCCATCCTTTAATGCTGGAGTTTGACTAATCAGAAATGATGGACTTGAAGCCATGTTGGTCAAATTTAAAAATAGCAGATGTTATGGATGACTCTGAGTTACAGACACACCAAATCTTAGCTCAGTGTCCGTAAAACTGACCAAGCTACAGTCTGGGGTTCTAAGTCTGATTAGCTGAGGTGGCCATCTTGGATCAGGTTGACTCTAAAAGTTAATCAGCTGTAAACAAACATCCAGCGGCTAAATTCAGAGAGTTTTACCAACATCCATCCATTAATAAGGAGCTATGTGGCTAACAGACGAGTTTTAAAAATATCAGTTTCTGTTTTTGCTCATTGTGATTAGCCAGAAGTTAATGCCAAATATTGGCAGGAAGGGTTGTCTCTGAGCAATCATAGCACCAAAGTTTACCTCTGTATCTGAAAAAAATCATTAAATTAAAGCCATGTTTGTTTTGGCTAAAGAAAAGTAGCCATGGCAGCCATCTTGAACCATGTTGTTCCCATGCTAGCTCGCCAGATGTAATGGTCTGATCACACATTTTCCAGTTACCAGTTGTGCTGAAGCAAAGAGACATTCCTGAACTTGCAGGTTGTTGCCCTTGAGGACTGATGCTAAATCATTAGCAGCACATGCTAACACTTTTATTAAAACTATTTAATCTATATGTAATCTTTGTGTACTCTCGTGTTTTGGTATTTGCAGAAAGAACGACTGTGGTTTTCTGCTACAAGCCAACAAAAACTGCAGCATGAAATCCAAAGCCTGAAACCTGACAGGTTGTTATAATCTCTCCCGTTATGTTTGACTGAAGTCTGGTCTTACTGATGGTCAGATTCCTACAAACAGCTCTGCTTTGTGCTCAGCCAGTCAGTTTCTGAGTCTCCTCTTTGGCTTCCTCACCTGGCACGGCCCTCGTGTTGAAACAAACGCCGATGTTTGTGAAGGTTTTTATTAAAACGGACATGTTGAAGGTTTGGAAAAGTTCAGAGTTTTTGCAACAGCGTGGGTTCAGTGGCTAACAAAACACTGGAGCTAATGATGGTGCTTGAATCATGCATGCACTCAACCTGACCTTTAATGGTCTCGTTCAACAGGCACATTTAGGACATGTTGGACTTTTTCAAAGGATTCATCATCATCACCAGCCAGTTAGAGGAGAAAGGTGCGTAAAAATGTTTTTGCCTGTCTTTGTATCTACAGAACTTTTGGATTTTAATTCAACTACCATAAATTAATCATTGCGTAGAAAACTATGCTGCAGTATCTGAGTCTGATTCCCCTCAAATATTTAAAGTGTGCAGTTTAAATTGTACCCTTAGATGAAAAATAAACCCCTTTCAAGATGGTCATCACAGTAAATCCAATTTAGCAAACACAAAGTTCTCTAAAACTCGGTCAAATCACTGAGGTAAACCTTCACATCACAAAAGCAACAGACAATGTGAGATCTTGAGGTATTTAATGAGATGATACTTGACTTGACCTCGCCCAAAGAAAAGAAAAATAAACTCCCTTGCCAGCTGTAGAGCTTCCACCAGAGGGCAGCAGTCATCTATAGGACTAGATATGACAGGTTTCTGATGAAGGCACTAATCCTGATACGTAGTAGAGGGTTGATGAGGATCTGAGTTTATCAGTTGTTCTTCTCTGTAATGCATATTTCAGTCCTAATATCTCATTGAAGCGTTACTTGGACTAAACCGGGGGAAAGTAGTTAAACATTAAACAAATGTGTCCGCTCTGTCTTCTCCATCCCCAGTGAGTCATGGAGGATGGCTGTTTATACTGAGCCAGGATCCTCTGGAGGTTTCTTCCAGTTAAAAGGGAGTTTTCCTCTCCACTGTCGCTAAATGCTTGCTGTGAGGATTGCTGTAAAGACTCTGACACTAGTCAGTGACTCAACGCAACCTGCTGGGTTCCTTATATAGGAAACTTTTTACTGATTGGCTTAATGAACTGACCTGTATTGGAATGTTTACGATGTGAAGGTCCTTGAGACGACTCTTGTCATGATTTGGCGCTTTATAATTAAACTTGAATTGAATTGAATTGGTAAAACATGAAGAAACCCTAAAAATAGCTTTTAACATTGATGACCAGAAAAAATCTAAACATGCAAAATTACCTGTTGATTGCATTTTTATTCATTGGGAAATGTTACCCATTAAAGACCACCTTCAAAAACTCCCATAAAACCCCTCCTGGCCCTAAATGATGCAGATGGAGCATCAGGATTAGTGCCTTCATCACAAGCCGGCTATGTCCAGTCCTAAACATGTCTACTGCCCCCTGGTGGAGCTTCTACGGGTTACATCCTGTTTTATTTCTTTATCGCTTTTATTTAGTTACAGGATTACATGATAAAATATAACAGATTGTTTCTTCTTTGTTTATACTAAACATAGGACAATATAAAATATTAGTATTAATATTTTTATTTAAATATTTTGGCTTTAAAGGGTTAAATTTTAAAGCATAGCTACATTTCGGTTCTATGGTACTTTTGATTAAAGATAAAAACATCCAAGGTAAATTTACTACCTTTTTCAATCTAACTGTATTATTAAATAGAAATCCTTCGTTTGCTGTAAGGATTATAAATCCAACCATGGGAGCTTCGTGTCATGCAGCTACACTAGAAATCATAATTTACCTTAAAAGCTTAAAAATAATTCAGACCAGCAGAAATATGAAGCAGCTAGTTTATCAAACTCTTTTTGGTCCCTCTAAGTTTTATTTGTGCTCACACGCAATGGATCAGTCTACAAAGTCATCTGCAGAACCTGTTTGATCCAGTGCTGCGTTGATCAGTGGACAAAGGAAACACGGCAGAGAAAATACAACCCAATCTAATCCGCCTCCTCCAGCTTCTCACGTCTCTCCCGGAGCCAGGAACCAAACCGGACTCGGAGGCTGTCACGGTCCGACCTCGACAATAACCAGATCACACGGGCTGGCATCACACCAGCCTGCTCAAGGATCTTCAAACTCCAGCAGCCCAAATCTCAGCCAGAGTTCGGCTTTAAGTGAAACTCTGTCAGCGTGAGTGATTTTCTCCTATATCTTCTCATTTCATGAGATTCATTGGGAGCTGGAAGTCTCACGATCTGTCTCATGTTGCTCGTAGCGTCTGCAAGAATTTGTTTGTCTAACATTTATTAAGTGATCGGTTTGAGCCACTGCAGACTTTTAGTTAAAAAGAAAGAAAAACAAAAGAGAAGCCAACTTCTTCAACTCACACATCAAACTTTGAACACGCCGTTGCCCAACATCTGCTGTGAATCTTTCCTGACTTTCTGAAACTTTTCTTACAGGTCTGGATTTCCTTTAAACGAACAAAGAGCGACTCCTGTCAGACTTCTGCTTTTTGAGTTAGGATCCAGGCCCGACTCCCGGAGGGGGATGCCTTCCACAAATGTTTTATCTCTGGACACAAACTGAGAGAATTCAAGTCCAGCTTGTGTTCGCTGCAGCAGAGCCGAAGGGAAGCCAAACGGCACCGAAAGCAAAAACGTGTTAACAGCCGCAAAGATTCACCTTGACACCAGAGGAAGTGTCTAACCACTCGTGATGCACAGCAACGCCTTTACAGACACCGACCGACAATCATCATCCTGCGTGTGATTGATGGCTCTTCTTCCAAGATTTTCCGGTTAAGAATTCCGGGAATGACACCATTTCCAAAACCCTGAAATCATTTGGGATCATGTCTCGCTGCAGACAGTCAGCAGCTACTTGTCCGATCAAGCCGTACTTGAGGAAATACTGTGAGCTGGATGGATATAAATGTGGAATTTGTCTCGGATATGGAAAGAAAAATAGAAAAATCTGTTTCACAACTCACCTGAAACAGGTGCTGTTCACCCCCCCTGCTCTGACGCAGGAATACTCCACAGTCAGGATTTTATTATCCGGACACTCCATCCTGAAAAACAACCCAACACGGACACAAGTTAGTTAGATTTCTACTGATGTACCAGGCTTTGTGAGGTCATTCATGTTTGCTAATGTTAGTAAGCTTTAATTGGGCTGCAAGGTGGCGCAGTGGTTAGCACTGTTGCCTCGCAGCACGAAGGTCGCAGGTTTGAAACTCGGCTGCGGCCTTTCTGCGTGGAGTTGCGTGTTCTCCCCGTGCATGTGTGGGTATCCTCCGGGTACTCCGGTTTCCCCCACAGATCACAACATGCCCTATAGGTTATAAATTGTAAGTCGCTTTGGATAAAAGCGTCTGCTAAATAAATAAACATAAACATAGTTAGTTACGGATTGTAACTTTCTGAGAGTTTCATTAAAATCCTTTCTGTGATTTCTGACATATTTTGCCAAAAGACTTGACTCCAATTAGTAATGTCCAAGTTTAAAGCAAAATGTTGCACAAAGCAGCAACCTCAAAGATATAAACATACCAATTTTTAACTCGAAATCAGTAAAACTGGCTGAGTTATGGCAACAAAAGTGTTGGTTTATGTCAACAAGCTGTGGCGGCCATCTTGAATTGGGTTGATATCTGATATCTCATCACGTCATCACATATAATCTAATCACATCTCATCTCATTGAATCTAATCTCATCATATCTCATCACATCTCATCATATCGAATCTCATCATATCATATCATATCTCATCACATCTCTTCATATATAATCTAATCACATCTCATCTCATTGAATCTAATCTCATCATATCATATCATATCATATCATATCATATCTCATCACATCACATCTCATCATATATTATCTAATCACATGTCATCACATCTAATCTAATATAATCACATCTCACTGAATAGAATCTAATCTCATTATATTTTGTTGCATCTAATCTTATCATATCTTGTTTCCGTGATATTATCCAATCTCATTTTATCGTATCATGTCTTACCATTTCTGAATGTACATATCATATCTCATTATATTTAATTTAATCTAGTCTAATCTCATAATATCGTATGATATTTTGTCTCATCTTATTGTATCATGTGGTATAATCTCTGAATGTATCATGCTGTATCATATTGTATCTCATTTTATCAAATCTAGTCACATTTCATCTAGAATCTAATCTCATCATGTCGTATTGTATCTCGTATCATATTTCATCATTTATTGAATCTCATATCTCACTGCATGGTATCATAATGTATCGTATCTCATTTCATTGTATCATGCATCTAATCTCATTGTATCGTGTTGTGTCATATCTTATTATATCATATTGTACCATATTTCTTCATATCATATTGAATATCATTGTATCTCCAAATACCCATGACACTAGGTCCTTAGAAAATCTGTGCAAACATGTAACTTTTCATTAAAATATCTAACGTTACTGCATTACTGTTTGAAATCTTGTGTATTTGCTGGATTAGTAACTGGTCCATGATGTAATAATCTGTGAGAAAATTTTCTACGGAATATTCCCAACCATTAAATGTTGGCATGTAATCCCAAGCACTAACCTCTTGTAAACATGACAGCTCAGAACAGCCAGTGTGGTTTCCCAGCCAGTACTTAAGCTACAAGGACTCATCCATCACCGCGACTGATGGGCGGTTTTCCGCTCTGCCACTTTGCCACAAAAACAAGTCCTGGTGGTTGATTTTCTGGAGGTTAATGTGAATTTTGGCTGTTTCTCCTCCTCTCATAAATATTGGAGGCATGTGCTCCTCTCACATTCTCTCCTGACCTCCTGACCTTCTCTCTCCAGGCACCTTAACAGCATCCGCCATGTTTTGTTTAATCTCAGCCAACATTTGGCTGTCTGCGCTGCAAACAACTAATTCCAGGTTTTCTCTGTGTTTTCCTGCAAATCAGATTTTGTCATGAGCAACAGCAGCTCATCCAGGATACCCTTGTTTTACAGACTCATGCTGAGTAATAGATAAAAAACTATTAAAACAGACAGTTGTGAACACCAATCTGACAGACAAGCACTCGTTTTCTAATTGAGTTAAATGCCGAAACTAATTTTGAGTTCTGCTGCCAAAAATATTCCAGAACTGCAATTTCATCCAAAGCTTAGGAGCTCATTTAAAGGCTAATAATGTAAAATAAAGACTTTGGGGAGCCAATTATATGAATATGCATTACAAACTTTACCACATAAAACAGTTTAATGAAACACCTGATTAGTGGCTACATTTTTAATGGCCGGCATATTAGTTTCAACAGCGCCATTTAATGTTGTGAAATTCAACATTTCATTGGCAACGTTTATTATTAAACAGGCATTTTGCCATATTTAGCATCTACATATTCCCGTCTGTCTATATTATCCACATTTATGATTTTGCAAGCTGCTTTTTGTCATATTAACCATTTTAACAGCTAACTTTGCTACAACCAAAAGTATTTCTGAAATTTGTTGTCACTTTTCTACATTTATTCAGGAATTTGTGATGCTGGGTCTGATTATTAAGATCCACAGTCAATGTAAAATCAAATCGAAATATTTAAAGTTACACCCAAATGTTGAAATCAGAGTATGAATGTGGCTGTTTTAAATAGAATTTTCAGCAAAAGTGCAGTTTAAGCCATAAAATGTAAGTACCCTACCAAAATAAGAGCGGGGTGAAAATATCTCATGTTTATAAATCGGTGTGCACTGAGACAGGAACACTGATAAATAATCCATGTTTTAAAATATTCGCAGTCTCAAGGATGACGTGCTGGAATGGACATTTCTTCGTCCAGCTTTTATTTTGGTGGTCCACTTTCATTTCACAGTAGTCTTATTTTAGCAGGGTAGTTAAATATTTAGATTTAAACATTTATTTCCAGATAGATACATTAACATATTCTAAATAGATTTAACTTCATATATTTTATGTAAACTCTGTAAAACTTTTATTTTAAAAATTCGATTTAATAATAAAATTTTGGAAAAAGTTTTTTTATAGCCGAGTTTTGAATCCATGACTTTTTAATTGGCACCCTATGAAAGAAAGACTAAAACTTTATAAATTCTGATGAAAACAGATGAGATTAGAGGACAGATTACAGTTTTACCTGGATGTGTCCACTGAGGCCGTCGTCCTGATGGAACTGGCACCGGATTCCCAAAGGAAAACAACCCAAAACGCTCCGAAAGGTAAAAGAGTCGCAGCATTGAGCTGACCCATGTCCCTCTTTGCGCTCCGGGACGGAAGCTCCAGTCCCCCTGGCTCTCCTTCACATCAGACTATCTTCATCTGTCAGCGAGCCGCGTGCGTCGCGCTTTCCCAAATAATCCCAAATCCCAGTGAGCGGAGACGCACGCGGAGCCTGGGAGGTGTCCTCTCTTTACGCATCGATCGAGGCGAGCTGCTGGGGGGCGCACAGCCCGCTGCGTCCTCCCTAATCCCTCTGGATTTACATTCCTGCCTCCTAAACCGAGACCACGGCAGCATAGTGGATGGATGGTGACGCATGGACCTAAAATGATTGGAGAACGATGATAAAATATGAAACAATCTGCTGATTTATTTCTCTGTTTCTCGCTGATTTAACATTTTATTAAAATGGATCAGCTGCAGGCACAGGGGGCGCTGTGACAACAGGAACGAGGCGTTAATCAGATTAAAATTCCTGATGTGCAACAAGAAAGGCAGAAGAATCATCAGGATGCCTTCAGTGTTAAACCAAAACCATTTATAGTAAATAACTAAATATCAACATTCTATAAACAAACAGACCATTGAAGTCATAGATGTCTCGTTTTCTCCTATTATTGCTCTGAAAGCAGTTTTATTTCTGGGAACCAAATTGGTGCCAAACTCCACCTCGGTGCAATCCAGAGACCTCTTCTGTCCCCACACGTAAAAGAAGAAATGTTGTTATGACTCGTTGGTACAGGGCGGGGGTGGGGGATGTGCGGCCTCGAGACCATTTCAGTCGGACCGTTTAGGTTTTATAATAAATCAGGAAAAATATCAACAGTCAGTTTTTGCAATAAAACGTACGGATATGTGTGTCCGGGTCAAGATCAGGGTCAGTGAAGGCAGCATGTGATGTTTATGTGATCAATCATGGCTGCTGCTGAGAAGCAGGAGGTGGATGCAGAATGCCGCACATTCCAGGAAAAACGGACAAATGGTTTTGTCTTTGCAGACGTGAAAGGCAAGCCAGTGTTCTTAGTTTGTGGCGATGCGCTGCTGGCACTAACGAAAACAGCGAATCTCAATCGCCACTACAGTTCGACACACGCTAAAGTTGAGTCGTAAGGACAAATGTGCTTGGATAAAATCAGCCCTTATATGTCGGAGTTTGAGTGCTCAACAAGCAGCGTTCACACGTCCACAGACCGACAGAGGGAATATCACGCGTACAAGCTTTGAGGTGAGTGCATTAATAGCTGAGAAGCTGAAACCTGTGTCATGTTGTGGGCAAGAGCTTTCACCCAGGACATGAAGAATCACAGGAGAGGAATTCGGTGAGTAAAAAGTAAAAATGATTTATTTACAGTGGAAAAACAGAAGAGCCAAAAACTAAGACTAAAGACGTTGCTTCAATGATCAGGATCAGGAGGGTACCGGAATCTACGAAGATATAAACAGAAGGTGAGCGAGACCAGAACCAGAGGACCAGGAGATGAGAGTCTGTAACTGAGAGTGTTCTTACGGTCAGGAGCCAGGACTAGAGCGGAGGCGAACTGGGAGAAGTTGGACCGGGTGAGGAGTTCAGGGCGTGAGGCAGGCGGGCAGACGTGGAGAGAGGAGTTCAGAAGATCTTTGAGCGGCGAGACGTGGGAACAACTCCAGGCAAGGTAGATGGTGCG